TTAGTATCACAATAGAACCGGACATGCTTACAGAGGAAACAAATTTGAAATTGGCGCCAAAGAAAGTAGCTAAGCCCTGCTTTACAAATCTCTGGGAGTCTTATCACCAGCCCTTTAGCACGTTTTGACGGCGCAGAGCGATATGCGCATGCGCGTGCCAGCTGTTTCCGGCCACGTGTTGCGCCATTTTAGTGGAGTCCGTTGGTGGAGTGTGTGCACGTGCTCCGGTATATGAAGTGAAATGAAGTGAAGTGAAGTGCTCCGGGCACATGCCACCGAGTGATAGCTCTGGAATGATAGCTTAAATCAGCTATTATCGGTGGAATCCGTCGTGCGTGGCATGGGAGTGCGTGCCCCTGCTCCGGGAGGCAGTGAGGTGGAGGGAAGTGCAGTGCAGCAGTGCAGTGCAGTGAAGTGAAGTGAAGTGCTCCGGGACCGGGTGGTACATGAGCATTTGCCACCGACACATGCCACCGACACCGACGTTGATCGACTTTGGTGAGTCTTACACGTTGTATCTTTTGACATTATCTTATATTGTTTAAGTGCTTCATATTCCGACTTTGGCAAATCGCGCTTCTTGGTCTGAAGGAAAGTTGTGTTGTTTGCGAAAATAGCTCCCAACAGAAAAAAATCTTGGAACTGATCCAGTTTTTTTTTTTGCTCCAGGCATGGGGCCTGGTCAGTTCTTCCGTCGACTACCACTTACAATGGAGGACAACTACGACAACAACACGGGGTCTCCGGTTCCGTCTATCACTAAACGCCGTCTGGTCGTGGATGAGGTCGAACTTATGGCCATGAACGGAACGTCGGTTCAACGACCCCCCCCCCCCCCGCCTCCCCCAGTCGATCTCGCGTTAATCGTCGGTCACTGCGAGTGTGCAGGTATATGAGCGACCTTTCGTTATTTCCCGTGCGTTTGTTTGTTACGGAGCGAGCGAAGCGAGCGTAGTCTTTCCTTAGATTAACGGAAATTTCTGAGTATGAGCGGCCGGCCGGCCGGCCGTGCGGACGCTTTTGCGAGGCTTATATCTCAGCAACCACTTGACCGATTTACACGGGGTAATTTTTGTAGGGTAGCTTCATTCCTTCTACCAAGTATTGGACTATTCCCGATGCATGTGGGTGACCCCTTATGCACGTGCCACGCGCAAAACGAAGAGGTGTCAGTTTTGTAATTGTTGCAATATCTCGGTAACTACTTGGCCGATTGCGCTGAAAGTTGGCATGTAGGTAGGCACCCACTAGGCACTGCATATCCATGTGCCAGAGTTGGGGTGCTGCTGCACGTGCGCACGTGCGGGGGTCGTTTCCAGATCTCGAGAACGGCTGGACCGATGGCGCTCAAATTTGGTACACGGTTAGGGACCAGTTAGTAGGGTGCCGTGCACAAGTCAGTTGGGACCCATTCTGCACGTGCGCACGTGCAGGGTGCCGCTTCCAGATCTCGAGAACGGCTGGGCCGATTGTGCTCAAATTTGGCACATCGCTAGAGACCGGTTAGTAGGGTGCCGTGCACAAGTCAGTTGGAGGTACCCCCTCGAAATTTCGCACGTGCAAGACTCACCCCCTCGCTCGCTCCGTTAGTCGCCCCAAAAGGCGCTATACTGGTGTATATATTTACATTTGTTTTTCATGCAGATGATATGAAGTGTTAATAAATGTTCCATTATTATTTTTTAATTTTATAATGTGTTGGATGCTTGAAAGATGCACTTACACGGGAATATTGCAGAATGCAAAACACAATCATTGAGACTTGTAGTTATCACTTATCTAGGATATACCCTTTTTTGCACGTCTTTTCGGCCTTACACAATTTGTGGTATGACAGTTTGACGTTTGTGAAAAGCGATAATGTGAACACATATATATTGCACAAACCGGTTCCGATATCACTTCATCAGTGTGCAAATATATAAATAAAACACACAAAATACAAAACGGAGACGAAATAGGTACAGCACGTACAGCAGAGCAAATTAATTTCAAATACATTCATATGACCTCATGTGATTGAGATCCCAAGACGCTTCCGCACCAAAAGAACGGCTAAACTTTTTCCCAATCGTATGTCACCAGCTTTGGAATTTACACACAAACAAGATTCAATGAGGGACGATTCAATCGTTTTTCTATCGGACCTACTTAACCTATCTCGTATGATCTCAGTGCGATCCCAATCAGGTAAACTACCACACTTTTCGGCATGTTTCACCATTGCATTGTTAATATTGTGGTTCCTAAAATCTCTCTTGTGCTCCATTAACCTGTTCTTAAGCCCTCTCGACGTTTCACCGAAATAAGGCTGTGTACACCCCTTGCACGGTATTTTATACACTAAACTTGTTTCACTACGGTCACACTTTTTCTTTTTTGCTACAACCTGACCAATCTTCTCCCCAGCCTTTTCCACAATCTGAATATCGGAGCACTTCAACATCTTTGATAATGCTTCACAATTCTGTGACCTGGGTACAACAACTATAGCGTTCTTTGTCTTTCCGTTTGTTTCGTTTCCCGTCCTATTCTTGATCCTTTTTGCCTTATTATAGCATTCAATTATAAATGCCCTGGGGTACCTCAAACCTCTAAAAACGTCAGTGATATGATCACATTCTTCCTTCAGATTTTCGGGACTACATATTCTCATCGCTCTGAGGAAGAATCCAATCACTACCCCCGATTTCGTTCTCCTGCTATGAGCTGAAAAGAAATGAATATAGTCCTCTTTGTTTGTGATTTTCCTATACACTTTGTATCTGATGCCGCTGGGCGTCCTCTCAATATGGACATCTAAGAAAGGTAAAGTATTGTTAGTTTCTTCTTCTAATGTAAACTGGATCCTCCTTTCCACAGCGTTCAGCTCAGCTAACTTTTCACTAAGATCAAGATTGTCTGGCACAACTAACAGGATGTCATCAACATACCTATACCAAACAACATCACCTCCCATGACGTTAAAATAATGGTCGGTCTCCATCATCTCCATGTATAGCCATGCCGCCACTGGGCTTAATGGGGACCCCATGGCCAGACCGTGTATCTGTTGAAATTCTTCCCCGTTGAAAGAGAAAACCTGAAAGTCTAAACACAGTTGCACAAGCTGAATAAAGTGACTCTTAGTGACGGGGAAGTTTTCATCTGGGATGTTTTGAATAGCCTTCTTAATAGCAATGCTCGCCTTTTCTACAGGGACACTGGTGAATAGCGCCTTAACGTCAAAACTAGCAAATTTCTTGCCACTCAAGTCTAGCTCACTTAGACGACTTAGCAAATCACCGGAATTCTTTAAATGAGAATCACTAACCGTTCCAAGTAACTGAGTTAGCGGTCTAGCTAGGACCTTTGCCAGGCGATGCGGAGCGCTTCCGATACCCGATGTAATCGGTCGCATTGGGATTCCGGGCTTGTGTACTTTAGGCAGTCCTCTCATCCTCGGGGCCACTGGTGCTTCCTCGAGAAGATGTTGTAGCTGTTTTCCCTTTGCCGAGCTTCGGAGTATCTTGCGGGCCTTTTTGTTGAACTCGACACTTTGACATCTGATCGTTCCAGTCACTATTTTCTTATACGTTTCCGGATCGCTGAGCAGGTCTTGCATTTTAGCATCGTAATCTGACTTGTCCATAACAATGACTCCACCTCCTTTATCCGCAGAAGTGACCACAATGTTATCATCTTTGGACAACTTGACTAATGCCTGCTTGAATCTTCTAGGGATAGCACTGGGCTCATGATCCGCTAAAGCTTTACAGCTAGTGACGATCCCCTGGATGAACCCCTTCTGTATCTCAGAGTCAGGGTTGGCATTTTTGCCGGCAAAAACTAGTTTATGCCATTTGCCGGTTTAAACCGGTTTAATCCGGCAAAAAGTGGCAAAAACTGGCAAAAACTAAAAACCAGCACAATGATATGCCTAGACATGGATTTAAAGATGAAACATTTTGAGGAGAATTCGGTGAAAGCTTTATGCTTTCAACCAGAAGTGACATTGACCGTTGAAGTGTTCTATAACTCAAAAACATTTTCATGGGCTTTCCATAAGGCGCCTTTTGGGGGTGACAAATGAGCCAGTGCAAGAGTGAGTCCTGCACAATCAGAAGTGCGAAGGGGTATCTGCCACTGATATGCGCACTGCACCCTACCGTGGCAGCTTTGCCCCACTCCCCTACATGGAAATACATTCTGTGGTGGATACCTACTGACATGCATAGACATTTTAAGCAGGGATAAGTAATGAGGCAAACTTCAGAATGTTTGGTGCATCTCTATAACATCAAGAAATGCATTTGTACATTTCAGATCCATTCCTAACTAGAAAAGTTGTGGTTTGGCCCACCTGAGTTTTATCCAGTTTTTGCCAGTTTTTGCCACCGGGGTTTCTACCAGCCGGTTTAAACCGGTTAAAACCACTGGCAAAAACCAGTTTTTGCCACCCCCTGCCAACCCTGCTCAGAGTCCTTGAAGTTCTGTTTTTTAATGAGATGCTCAGACAGTGATCGATTGTCCGTACCTGTATCAAATTTTAGTCCCAGAGACGGGGCCTGCTTCTCGTCGTTCGTTAGAGTTCGGGATGATAGATTTGTTATGATTTCGTTTCGTCCTGCTCCGGCCCAATCACTTTCAAGACATAGCTTGTTCAGCTTTCGATTTAGCCTCTCTTTTTGGTTGACGTTAAACTCTTTAAGTTCTTCGGCGTGTTTTCTAGATATATTACCGCCTTGGTATTCTTCACGTTTAAGTATTATCTCATCTCGAAGGTTGGAACATGCTTCTTCCAAGTAAGCACGGGCTTACTTGGAAGAAGCATGTTCCAACCTTCGAGATGAGATAATACTTAAACGTGAAGAATACCAAGGCGGTAATATATCTAGAAAACACGCCGAAGAACTTAAAGAGTTTAACGTCAACCAAAAAGAGAGGCTAAATCGAAAGCTGAACAAGCTATGTCTTGAAAGTGATTGGGCCGGAGCAGGACGAAACGAAATCATAACAAATCTATCATCCCGAACTCTAACGAACGACGAGAAGCAGGCCCTGTCTCTGGGACTAAAATTTGATACAGGTACGGACAATCGATCACTGTCTGAGCATCTCATTAAAAACCAGAACTTCAAGGACTCTGAGATACAGAAGGGGTTCATCCAGGGGATCGTCACTAGCTGTAAAGCTTTAGCGGATCATGAGCCCAGTGCTATCCCTAGAAGATTCAAGCAGGCATTAGTCAAGTTGTCCAAAGATGATAACATTGTGGTCACTTCTGCGGATAAAGGAGGTGGAGTCATTGTTATGGACAAGTCAGATTACGATGCTAAAATGCAAGACCTGCTCAGCGATCCGGAAACGTATAAGAAAATAGTGACTGGAACGATCAGATGTCAAAGTGTCGAGTTCAACAAAAAGGCCCGCAAGATACTCCGAAGCTCGGCAAAGGGAAAACAGCTACAACATCTTCTCGAGGAAGCACCAGTGGCCCCGAGGATGAGAGGACTGCCTAAAGTACACAAGCCCGGAATCCCAATGCGACCGATTACATCGGGTATCGGAAGCGCTCCGCATCGCCTGGCAAAGGTCCTAGCTAGACCGCTAACTCAGTTACTTGGAACGGTTAGTGATTCTCATTTAAAGAATTCCGGTGATTTGCTAAGTCGTCTAAGTGAGCTAGACTTGAGTGGCAAGAAATTTGCTAGTTTTGACGTTAAGGCGCTATTCACCAGTGTCCCTGTAGAAAAGGCGATCATTGCTATTAAGAAGGCTATTCAAAACATCCCAGATGAAAACTTCCCCGTCACTAAGAGTCACTTTATTCAGCTTGTGCAACTGTGTTTAGACTTTCAGGTTTTCTCTTTCAACGGGGAAGAATTTCAACAGATACACGGTCTGGCCATGGGGTCCCCATTAAGCCCAGTGGCGGCATGTCTATACATGGAGATGATGGAGACCGACCATTATTTTAACGTCATGGGAGGTGATGTTGTTTGGTATAGGTATGTTGATGACATCCTGTTAGTTGTGCCAGACAATCTTGATCTTAGTGAAAAGTTAGCTGAGCTGAACGCTGTGGAAAGGAGGATCCAGTTTACATTAGAAGAAGAAACTAACAATACTTTACCTTTCTTAGATGTCCATATTGAGAGGACGCCCAGCGGCATCAGATACAAAGTGTATAGGAAAATCACAAACAAAGAGGACTATATTCATTTCTTTTCAGCTCATAGCAGGAGAACGAAATCGGGGGTAGTGATTGGATTCTTCCTCAGAGCGATGAGAATATGTAGTCCCGAAAATCTGAAGGAAGAATGTGATCATATCACTGACGTTTTTAGAGGTTTGAGGTACCCCAGGGCATTTATAATTGAATGCTATAATAAGGCAAAAAGGATCAAGAATAGGACGGGAAACGAAACAAACGGAAAGACAAAGAACGCTATAGTTGTTGTACCCAGGTCACAGAATTGTGAAGCATTATCAAAGATGTTGAAGTGCTCCGATATTCAGATTGTGGAAAAGGCTGGGGAGAAGATTGGTCAGGTTGTAGCAAAAAAGAAAAAGTGTGACCGTAGTGAAACAAGTTTAGTGTATAAAATACCGTGCAAGGGGTGTACACAGCCTTATTTCGGTGAAACGTCGAGAGGGCTTAAGAACAGGTTAATGGAGCACAAGAGAGATTTTAGGAACCACAATATTAACAATGCAATGGTGAAACATGCCGAAAAGTGTGGTAGTTTACCTGATTGGGATCGCACTGAGATCATACGAGATAGGTTAAGTACAGGGTGGACCAAAAAGGATGGAAACATTTTGAACTCGCATAAAATATGTGTTATTGCATACAGGTGACTGAAAATGATACCAAACGAGATAACATTTCGTGGAAATTCATAATGACATCTCTCTCATCTGCTTTCTCTCGTTTTCAGTCTCTAACAGCAAATGTTCGAAGAGGCCACCTTTGCGAGACAGGCAAAGAGCGTCAGCCTGCCGGCTGACGCGATAGCCCGATGACACATGTCCTCTGGTATGACTCGCACAGCCTTGGTGATCGCTCTCTTCAGTTCACAGAGGCCTACATAACCTTCCTTGTAGACCTGGCCCTTGAGATGACTCCACAGGAAAGGAATCCATAGGTCAGATGAGAAGACAGACAGACCAGTTCCACTTCGGTTCGAGGATGTGAGCGACAACACCGTGGCTGACGACCAAAAGCGCTACCAAGCGACGCTAAAGAAGTTGTTGAAGTGAGCCCAAACGAAGTATGGCAGTCTCATGGACCTCATGTGATTCCAGCCAGGCGGTGCGCCTCCTCACATCGCGAAAAAACGCTCAAGTGGAGCGAGAACCACTTTGGTGACCGGCTGATATCCCGCAGTGCGTGTCGGAACTGGCCTGTCTGATCACCTGACCTGACCCCGATGGATTTTTTCCTGTGGGGTCATCTCAAGGCCACAAGGCCAGGTCTACAAGGAAGGTTCTAAAGGCATCTGTTACCTGAAGAGAGTGATCACCAAGGCTGTGCGAGCCAAACCAGCGGACATGTGTCATCGGGCTATCGCGTCAGCAGCCAGGCGGGCCGCTCTTTGCCTGTCTCGCAAAAGTGGCCTCTTCGAACATTTGCTGTGGGAGAATGAAAACGAGAGAAAGCAGATGAGAGGGATGTCATTATGAATTTCCACGAAATGTACTCTCGTTTGGTATCATTTTCAGTCACCTGCATGCAATAACACATATTTTATGCGAGTTCAAAATGTTTCCATCCTTTTTGGTCCACCCTGTAGGTCCGATAGAAAAACGATTGAATCGTCCCTCATTGAATCTTGTTTGTGTGTAAATTCCAAAGCTGGTGACATACGATTGGGAAAAAGTTTAGCCGTTCTTTTGGTGCGGAAGCGTCTTGGGATCTCAATCACATGAGGTCATATGAATGTATTTGAAATTAATTTGCTCTGCTGTACGTGCTGTACCTATTTCGTCTCCGTTTTGTATTTTGTGTGTTTTATTTATATATTTGCACACTGATGAAGTGATATCGAAACCGGTTTGTGCAATATATATGTGTTCACATTATCGCTTTTCACACTTACACAATTTCCTTTTTGGTAATTGATTAGTCCTTTTTGCAGTAACTAGTAAAAGTATGTGCAGCTCAAGAAAGCAGTTTTTGCTAACTTTTCATGCAGCAGCTTTAACTAGGTAGTATAGATATTCTACTTTCAGCCCCAATGCTTTCGTTAGCATTATTCTACTTGTCGTAGGGTAACAATAGCGCTAAAACGGTTCATATGTGAGTACGGAAGGTACTAACTGCATGCTATTCTTAGCACCTTTTAAAGTTTAGCACCGCTAGGGTACTGAAAATTGTTCTAGCAGGTGTAGGGTACTACATTTAGTACACGGGTGCTAAACAAATATGGGTACTTATATTAGCACCTTGATACTAAACTAGATCTCAGTTAAGTACGAATAAAATGCTTAGCTTAGCACCGCTAGGGTACTGAAAATTAGTCAATTGAAAAGTACCTCTATGGTGCTAAACTTTTTTACAGTGTATAGGGTACTGAAAATTAGTCAATTGAAAAGTACCTCTATGGTGCTAAACTTTTTTTTACAGTGTAGGGTCAAACTACGTTTTTGCAGATAACGCGACAGACAATGAAGCTAGAGCTTGAAAAATGGTGTCATTTTGTTCTTCTTCATCAGCCGAGTCGAAGGATATGCAATATGAAACATGTAGGTAAATGAAAAAAAAATAAGGAATCTTGAAATGCACATTTTTTGTCAATTTTGCATCACGATTTTCATCGATCTGTGCTCTATATGTGATAGACGCTAGCTAAAATACCAGGTGACATAAACTCTAAGATGTCCAGAGCTAAACAGTACCTTAATATTTCACTTTCCCACGGGTGGAGAATGTTTGAAAAAGTTACCCCGGCCGGCGACCGAAAGTCAGAAAGACGATGATGCTCAAATATTTGTCAACGGTTATCAACAAACCCCTATTCTGTGGCATAGAATAATGGATGTCTGCCGTTTGTACGTTTTTAGGGAAAACTGCTGCACGCAGGTGTGGAAGATTTCGTAATTGTAACAACAATTTTGCAACACGCCTTACAATTTCGGACGCATGTCACCTAGTGCTAGGTCAGGTCATCAGGTCAAATTTGCTGGATGATCGTGCTAAAAATGCCATCATGCCGCTTTGCAAAGCTTATTCCGTGGAAGTTGCAACCTTCCCACACAAAACAAAATGTCAAATTTGACCGTTTTGACCCTCTTATAGATTTGAGCTCGCACCTGAAATATTATTCGCGACCGAGCCTTAAACGAGTAATCGAATTAAATTATGTTTTCACGGCTTTCAACTGGGTAATATCAAAAATTGCTATTCTGTATATTTCGGCATATTTTGCTGTACCTATGCCTTTTACAACAGATAAGAGTTACATTTCAAAATGACGAATAAGTTTGCGTAGCGCCAAAATTGGTATAAGAAAATGTTAAAATCGCGCAGATATTCCCAACACACTTATCACAAGAGGATGCGGAAATCGAAGCCATTATCACATCAAGAAAAGAGGAACAGCGAAGCATCACGAAAGAAACATGACATAGGTATGTACGTATCAGCCAAGCTGAGAAGACCTGGCATTCAGAAAACAAGCTGCAAATATAGGTCCCGTGCCAATTGATCGTAGGTACTATCAGTCGATAGGTCATCAATCTTTAAAATGATGATCAGGTGAACGAAGAGAGTGAATAAACGAATGAATATACTTGGGCATGTATGCGTCCAGAACTGAGTGAATGACTGAATACGTGAGTGAATGAATGAACGAACGAAAGCATGGTGAATGAAGAGACGAATGAATGAACGAATTAATGTAGGGGATTCAGGATGAATCAGTAGCCGCGTTTACATAGGGCTAGTTGCCAGATAGTGGAATTCCGATACCGAGACATTTATTCCACTAACGAGACATTTCAGGCACATTCCGCTAGTTCTGACGACCTATCCGGCCAGAAGGCCGCATAAGTCGTCAGAACCAGCGGAATGTGCCTGAAATGTCTCGTTAGTGGAATAAATGTCTCGGTATCGGAATTCCACTATCTGGCAACTAACCCTATGTAATAACCCAAGAAATAAATTTCCAGAGTGTTAGGTACTGATAATTTCGAGTCGAAATTCTCAGCCATTTCTGAGCTATCAGCGAAAAACAACAGGGGACCTTTGCCCCCCAAAGGTCGCGGGTTAATCCAGTGAGGACTCGTCAGTCGCCACCGATTGTCTGGCGGAGGTAACTGCCAGCCCGGGAAGGGAAGTGTGAGGAGGATGCCGAGGGGTTTGTTCCGAGGAATAAAGACAGACGTGATGACGAGCGAGTGGCGACTCATAGTGACCGAAACGAGGACGATAGGGCCAGGGATGGAGACTGAGTGATGTTAATTACAGAAAATCGGAATACCGATACCAAACCAAATACCAACCAAAACCGTGGGGAAATACCGAAACCGAACCAACTTTGAAATATGAGGGAAATACCAACTTTTTACCAATTTATTAGCCTCTTATACATTAGTAAGGGTTCATAATACCAACAAAATGTCAAACACATTAGGATTGAAATATCAAATAGGTACCAAGTTGGTATCGGTTTGGTATCGGTATACCAAAAAGTTGGTTGAGGTATCCGATTGACATCTCAAATGGAGACAGTAAATGTCTTTGTTTTGAAATAACCAAATGCAGGAAAGTGCTCCGAAGCCTATGGTCTGTGTGACGGAGTCCGGGATCGTACATACCTTCCACCCGAGTGCAAACCAGGAACCACCAAACTCTCAGGCACCAGCCAGCCAAAAAGCGCCACCTATGTGGCTCCTCCGATACCGGCCGGTCATCAGCGTCATCACAGACATTCAGATGTGCAGAGGCTAAGGTCGCAAATTTCAGTCTTGAGAGAGGAGACCTGAATCACTAGAAGACTTTTTTTAGGTTACGAGTGCTTTAATGCCGGCATGTTTCTGCACATTTTCATTGCTGCATCAATCCTCGCTATTTTCTGTGAGTTTGCCTTTACAGTAATGCCCTAAAAGTAGATAAAATCTTGGTTTAAATTGTTGCACTGCTGTCGTTCCGCCAAACACCACCAAACATAACAATGGGATAAAAACACCGCGCTGTACAATGAACGTTGGGATGTATTTGACAGCGAGCCGTCCCATTACCGACTGTCTCAGAGACGTACACCGCGCCCTAAAACTGAGTGCGATGTGACCAACGACCATGCTTTCAACCGGCGCAGTGCGGTACCAAGACTGAACACTGGACGGTCTGGACAATACATACACACATCTGGGGTTCTCGCTCGCCGCAGAGTCGTAAATACCGTCCCAGACCAGCGTAACATCACTAAAACACCGCCGCACCATCGCCACGAGTCCGCCCAAAATGCCTCAACAGGGTGCAGCTCTCAACACGGAGCGCTGGCCCGTCTCCTTCGCAAGATGCCGACCGAACAAATATCGCATAACAAGATACACAACCATACACTGAGCTCGAGCCACGCAGCAGCACACCTGCTCTCTCACAGATCCGATCAACAGCCACAACCGCGAATACACAATCCGTCATATTCGTCAACATCTAAACGGTACAATTCACAACCAGCGAATTTGTGTGTGCTCGTTTTACGGAGCACCGAATGGACGGTTGACAGGAAAGACACGCGTTATGGTGTACAAGACGAGCTGCCCTATACGGCACAGCTCGGCACATGAAAACATTGTGACGGGGCCACGTCCTGTAAAACAACAGCGGCCAGCACGGCTGACAGCACATCACGAAACAATTCATTCAGAAGCGACGTCCAAAATCGGGTCGTGGTTCGTACGACATCGTGACGTGAGCGGCTACAGTCTGCCAGACATCGCGAAAACAAGCATATTCGACCCAGCCGGCCGACCGTCCACAATACCTAGCTGACAGGCTCCACTTCCTCCAACTCCCGTCAGGTGGCACTAGTGTAGCGCCGCTCACAGCAGTATAACACAACGGCAGCGACGTGCGACAGGCACGACCACGAAACACTGTGTCACATCAGCCAGACAGCTATGCATCGACAGCTGGGTGACAAACATAGTAGCTCACGCCGGTGAGGCGTCTCAGTTCCTAGGCCGATGCATTCAACAACGAATGTCACCGTCCTCGAAATATTGCTCCATTCGCTGTTGGCGGCATAATGTTTTCACCAATCGTGGCTGTAAAACCCCACAAAATCCTCAAATCTCCGACAATACTCGTTATTCGTTACAACAAGTATTGCTCGGATTCATCAATATCACGAGCCCACTCACGTGCTGTGATTGAAGCGCACAGCACGGATGGTCGAGGATAACATGGAATGTTGAACGACCTCGATGGGTGTTAGTTGTGCCGTATTCAGCTGCACAAACTGGATCGAACACACCGGTTATGCGCTAAGAATGCCGTCTCAAAATATCTCCATTGCTCTCGGTGTGATCAGCTAGCTGCCATCAGTGGACCTTTCAAGTTTCAACAGCCTTCAGGGTTCGACCACATCAGCCTCATCAGCTACAGAAGACCTCAGGCTGCAAAAAGATCAAAGATCTCATTTGATCCAGCAGACATGGTCTTTTTCATCACCCTTCCCTCTGAGATGGCGGTGCCTCACATCACCCCTCTGAGCTCGTTGGTTGACTTCACATCCCTCTTTACCCCAACCTGCCTCTCAGTTGGCCTCGACTGTGGTCGCCGGTGACATATCTGTGATGTCCACCTCCCGCGGCCGGCGGCCATTCTCCGTTCGTCCCGAGCTTGGCACCGATCCGGGAGGGCGGAACGAGTCTCGTGACTGGAGCGACGTGCCGCCGACCGACAGCGGGCGGCCCCCGGCGGCGGCGGCGGCGGCGCCTCCCGTCGGCGGCGGTGTGGCCACCAGCGCGGGGTTGTCGTAGACGGCGCTGTAGTCGCCCGGGCACGTGTCCTCGGAGGGGTGGCGGCTGCGGCGCTTCACCTCCTCGCCGGGCTTTGCCGGGAAGCTGAG